CACCCCTCAAATAAATAATCTTTAAAAAAAAAAAAAAAAGAGCTTATTTGTCCTGAGTACTTTATACAGAATATCCTATTTAATCCCTCATGATATCTTTAAGCATAGACAGTATCCCCATTTTTCAGGTAGGAAAACTAGGCTCAGAGAGGCTGAGTATCTCTCCTGAGATCACCCAGCGAGCACCCAGTGAGATTCTACCGCAGCTGGTACCCCTTGCCCACCATGGCCTCCTAAGATGCCACTGCACCTGAATCTCCAGGTCCCCTCCCTGCCACGGATGGACCCTGTTTGGGACAGTGGGGGGGTCTCCACTCTGATCCCAGGGGACTAGGTCTTCTTAAAAAGCCTCTCACTGAAGGCGAGGCCAAGACTCCCACCAGGCATAATTGCCGGAGAGTCTCCCTTCCTCCCTTTTGGTATACAGGAATCCCAAATACGGTGTGGTACTTTTAAAACCCATCCACATAATTTTTTGATCCTCTCGTCTTCAAATGGCCTTCAGCAGCCGCTGCTGGCATCCTGAGTCCAACCTCATGAGAGAGAGATCCTGAGCCAGAAGCACCCAGCTAAGCTGCTCCTGAATTCCGGACCCACACAAACTATAATGCGTAAACGCTCACTGTTTTGAGCTAAGTCCTGGGGCAGCTTGCTACACAGCAATACCCAACTGTTACACTCTGGTTTTACTCACACGTCCCTTGTGCGGAGCCGTCCCTCCTTTCTCCCACGAGGACCCAGTGGACGCATTTCCATTTCAGGACACACCACCCCCAGCCCCGGACCCCCCACTCTGGTTGGGGTGCTGCTGTGGGCACCGTCCTACCTGACTTGTCATGGACAATGGAGAAGAGGATGCGCTTTGAGGCGTGGACGTTCTGGATGAGAGGACCGGGCCCGGGGGGCTTCTGTCCTGGACAAGGGAGAGGAAAGGTACAGGTTCAAGGTGGGCCCCCAGATCTGGCCTGGGTGCAGACACGCTGGCTCTGGGGTAACAGTCTCATCCACCAAGGAGACCCCCGAACTCAGCCCTAGGGTCGTAAACTCAAGACAAGTTCCCTGCCCAGAGGCCTGAGACATTCTCTGGCAGAGTCTGCTCTCCAAACGGCAGATCAGGGAGGCCAGGATGACGATGTCCGAGGACAGGTGGGGACCCCTATTTAGGTGTCTAAGTCCCACTCTGCTGCTCAGCCCAACATCTGATGGAAAAGGTGGGGGAGGGAAGTCCCTTTTGCTCCTTCTCCTAACGGTAAGTACAACTTATAAGCACCTACTACGCACCAAGCACTGGACTCTGCGTTAATACAGCAGCTCTCAAGCCTGAACACCCAGTGGAGCCACCTGGCCGATTTAAATACACAGATGGCTGGGCCCCCAGCCACCCCCTAAGCTTCAGATTCAGCAGGATGGCAGCAGGGCCTGAGAATGTGCATTTCTAATTTGCCCTGTCATTTGACCATGGTAATAACCTCGTGAGAGGTCCTACCGGCATCTCGACTTTAAAGCTGAGGAAACTGAGGCTCAGGGAGGTAGAGATTTGCTGTGGGACACACAGCCTGGTGGAAGAGCCAGGACAGGAACGTAAGTCTTTCTCACACCCAGTTGTTCCTTCCCCTATGCTTTCGGTACCCCTAATCCAGGCTGGGTATGTCGTCAGTGCTCATTAAATGCTTGTGACTGATTAGCCTGTATACTCCCTCCACAGACTCCTCTGTGGGATGCCCTCAAACATCTCTCGGTCCCAGGCCAATGATACTGTTCACAGAGGTCCTGTCCCAGCCCCTTGTCCCGACATGCCTCCTTCAGCCTGGGGTGGGCCTGAGCACCCCCATCTGCCCAGGGAGGGTGCCCCCCCGGAGTGATCTCTGTCCCACCCCTGGCATCAGGGGTCCCAGCAGCACCTTACCACAGCACTCGGGGAAGTCTTGGGCCCCAGAGGCCTTGGGCTCAGGCCCGGGCCGGCCAAGGCCCAGGTCGCTGGGGGCAAGTGGGCAGGCGGGGGCCTCCTGCTTGAGCTCTCTCGTGGTGTGGTTAGGGAGTGAGGTGCTGTACAGAAAGCTAGCCACAGCGGACGAGGTGCCGGTGGGGGGTAGGTCCTGGGGTGGCCCCTTGGGGGCCTGGCCGTGCAGGCCGCAGTCCCGAGACCCCTTGGCTATCAGGGAGACACCGTTCAGCTCCACTAGGGCCTTCGAGTCCCGCCCGCCATCCTCAAGCGGCCTGGGTGAACGAGAGAAGGACACGTGACAGCTTTATACACCTGGCCAGCCAGGCCCCAGCCCGCCCTCTGCACAACATGATGGCCTGTGAGGTACACGGGCCAGGAGCTGGTCCCCATTTTACAGCTGGGGGTGCAGGCCCGGGGCGGGGTTGTGATGTGCCCAGGGCCACACGGCTGGGCCACTAGAGGAGCTGGGCCCTGCCCCTCGGCCCCCGTGCGCCCCACGCCCCCATCCCGTGCTCAGATCATGCTCTATGCCTGGGCATCTGCCTCACTTCCATTGCCGGACTGGGAGCTTTTACAACCGGGGTCCCCCGCGGGTGTCTGAAGTCCCCTCCCCATGACTGGGTGAGTGGCCCCAGGCTGAGCCAGCATGGGAGCAGATCACCCTCCCTGGCCTGTCCTGGCCTGACCCTCATGGTCCAGCCACCCTCCCTGGGCCCACTCCCAGGCTGACTACCTCACTCACCTCTTGAGCTTGAAGCGGATCCGGTGGCTATGCTCCAGGATGGCCATGAGGGCCTTGAGGTCATAGTCGGCTGGCCTCCGGAAGGCCAGGCCCTCGGGGAGCCCCTGCACGGCCAGCAGCCCCGGCTCCCTGAGCAGCCTCTCGTAGGGCAGGGGCACCACGCTGGCCCTTCCCAGGGCCTCGCCTGTGGGGGAGGGGGTCGAGGAGAGGGTCTAGTATGAGAGGGCAGCCAGGCTGGGCCGGGGGCCAGCCTTGCCCCAGAGCTGGGGCCACGTTGAGTCACTCCCTGTGGTGCCGGGTTCCCGGGAAACTGGATCCCATGGGCCCCTTCCCTGCGAACGTCCCACAGAACAAGGCCCTGCAGGCTGAGCGGGGCAGGTGAGCGCTGGAGGCAGGCCCCTCTGTGTGCACCTGAGGGCCGGGGTTCCCCCATGGCCGGGGTTCCCAGCTTCTCTCGCCATTCTCCCCTCTCTGGGCACCTGGGTGGAGGGTAGAGCAGGGCGCGGGCTGTGGGCAGGAGCTCAGGAGGAGCCACGGGGGAGAGAGAAAGGAGGGTGGCAGAGACCGCAGGGAAAAGAGCCACAGGGCGGAAGGGAGGAGGAGAGGGAGGTGAGAGGAAATGGGAAGAGCAGATTCAGAAAGAGAGGAAGCAGACAGACAAAAGGTGGTGGGGATGAGGAAGGGGTGAGTGGAGGGGAGACTGACTGGGGACTGACGGGGTGGGATGGCCGAGGGGCCTGGGCTCAGGAACGCCTGTTGTCACTCCCACACTGCAGCCCCTCCCGGAGCCAGAAAGAGGCCGCTCACCTCAGATGCCGCCCGAGGTGTGCAACTGGGGGGGTGGGGGGCAGGGCAGAGTGGGCAGGGGTGCGGGGGGGGGTTGAGGGCACGAACCCTGTAGCTGGCAAAGCCAACCACATGTGACAAGTCCTCCCATCCCAGGTGACCAGTGTGCCCACCCCGGGCCTCTGGGCCTCCCATCCCACCTAGGCCTCCCCCTCCTCCTGACAGCAGGAGGTTCCTCAGACCTTTGCTCCACAGAACCAAAGGCTGCAGTACAGAAAGGAAGAAAGTCAGAGCTGGGACCCTTAGGGACCAAAGGGACCTGCCCAAGGTCACCTGGAGACCGCGACGGCTGCCACTGGGCCAGAGAGTCTGCAACTGGCCACTTGTGAGGGAGGCCAGGCCTGCCCACCTCCCCCAGCCCTCAGAGGAAGACTTGGCTAACTAGCGAAGTTAGCTCTCACTCAGTCATTCAACAAACACCCTGCCGATGTCGGCCGCTGTCGCTAGGGATGGTAGAAGGGGCAGGCACAGACCCTGGTCCCAGAGGGCACTGGGCTAGTGAGTGGTCAGAGCACAGTGGGTGCCCCTAGGGGGCATTGAGCCAGTAGCGGGGGTTTCCCAGAGCTGAGTCTTAGAAAATAATGCGGTGTCCGCCAGACAGAGGGGAAGGCAGTCGCGAAAGGCACAGTGGTGCAGAGGCGAGGTGTGAAATGGAGCCAGAGTGGGCTGGAGAACAGGAAGCGGTTTCGTGAGGCAAGGCAGCATGGCTGGAGGGGAGCAGGGACCGGCCACTGTGGGGAGGGCGACGGGGAGCCCCCGAGGCCGTGGAAAGAAGAGCTTTCTGGTCAGACTTGTGCTTTAGGAAGATGGCCTTGGTCACAGGACAGGTGGGGACAACAGGGAGCTGGCCTGGAGGCAAGGAGACCAGGGCGAGCCCAGGGCCATTTCCAGGCGAAGGGTGGCAGCGACCAGGGGCCAGGGCCGGCCCGGGGCGGTGTGGACGGCGGTTCAGGAAATGGGGCTGGGGCAGAAGAGCCATGCCTGGGGATGCAAGATGAGGGAGGGGCCGCCTCAGCAGGGCGGGGACGGGGGCTCCCACCCGCCTGGGGGCCCCAAATGGAATGAGCAAGGATCTTACTATAAAGAACATCAAACACCTCCTCTACCATCTTCCGTAGAAGGTACACGTCCGAGCCATGCTCCAGGGAAGACCGAGGGATGTTCCGGCCGCCACCCTCGCCCCGCGACACCTTCTTGGGATGCTCTGTCTCTGGCTCCTTCCAGGGGGCCCCTCCTGTGGGACACAGAGCATGCCGGGCCAGGATGAGCACCTGTCTCACCCCTGCCCAGTGAGCTGAGATGTCCCTGCCCCGTGCTGAACCCTGCAGCGGGGCACTCAACATGGAATAGAAAATGAAGGAAGGAAGGAAGGAACGAAGGAATGGAGGAATGAATGATGAGTGAGCAAGCCCTGCCCCAACCCCCTGCCCAGGGCCAAGGCTGGTCATCTCTGAGTTCCCAGTGCCTTGCACAGGGCTTGGGTCTCATCCTGGTCACCTCTAACTCGCTGTGTGACCTTGGGCAAGTCCCTTCCCTCTGGGCCTCAGTCTGCGAGTTCTCATAGAAGACCAGCTGGCGTGGCTCAGAACTGGGGTTCAACCAATGTCTGTTCCGTGCACCCCTTTCTGTGCTCCAACCCTAATGCTGTCTTAAACAGTCAAGGCCCCAGTTTTCCGCTCTGCCCCATGAGGAGACAATGGGGACCCCAGCAGGAGGCCAAGGGGCTGCAAAGAGGCAAGTTCATGCCAGGCTGGGCAAGGGTGGGGCCCTGGGAGTGTCAGTGGACCCCTGGATAGGGAGATGCTAGACACTGCACCGGAAAGGGGACGAGGGGAGGGCCCGGAGGCCCCCTCGCAGCTGGGAGCCTGCTCCTCTCCGGGGATCTGCGGAGCTTGAAATAAACCAGCTATAAATAGTCGCTCTGCTGGGCTCGGGAAGCCAGGTGCACCTTCCGCAGGCCCCAGCCTCGCCAGCCTGGGGCCACAGGACCCGGCCACTGTCTATTCTACCCTGGGCCAGCCCCCACCCAACCTCGGAGAGGGGACAGGCTCGGAGAGCTGGGTGGGGGCGGGAGCGGCCGGGGAAGCAGCCGGACCCCAGTGATGACATGCCCAGTGCTGGGGGCAAGCCTTCCCCGAAACGGCTGATGGAGGCTGGAGACCCCGGGTGTAACGCAGACGTTAATAATGGCAAGGACAATGGCTAGCATTTACTGTGTGTGAACCCAGTCTCAGGCACTGTTCTCGCCTGTATGAGATCGACTTAATCCTCAGATCGACCCTCGAGGAGGGCAGCACTGTCCTCCCCTTTCATAGACAAGAAGGTTGAGGCCCAGCAGCCGGCAGGTGGCAGAGCCGGGACGGAGCCCCAGACGCCTGCCTTCAGGGCCTGCTCTTAACCCTAAGAGCTCAGAGTCCCAACTCGTGGGCTTGAGCAGCTGCTCAGGGACTGGCCTTCGGCGCTGCGGCCAGGCCCTAACCTTGTAGGGCCTAATCCACCAAAAAGGTGAAGATGACGAGCTTACCAGGAGCACGGATGGAAATTTAGGACATGAGAAGCCGGCACAGTGTGGGGAGTAACCACAGGGGTTGGGGCGGTGGGGCGGGGGAGGATTGGCGACTAGGGGTTGGGGGCACAGACAGGGGCCCGGGCAGGCGGGAGGAACGTGGACGCGGAGGCTGGGGAGGCGTCTGCCGGCAGAGGAGAGGAGGGAGGGCCTCCCAGGTGGGGGGACAGCAGGGACAAAGGCAGAGGGGAGCATGCACACAGAGCTGGTGAGCTAGCACTCAGCCCAGGACCGCCTGCAGTGAGGGATGCCGGGAGGGGTGACACAGAGGCAGGGGCTGGGTTACGAGGGTCTAAAGGCCCCAACGGTAGTGTTGAGGAGTTGGGGGCTTCAGAATGACCCCCCTGCTTCAGGGCTCCCGGCTCCCAGCTCTGAGTGCTGTTCTCTTTTGGAAGTGACCAGGAACCCCTGGCAGGGCTCCCGGGGGGAATGGGGGGGGAGCGTCCTGCTACACCTCCCCCATTCTGAAGGGGTGCAGCACAAAGAGCACGGGTTTCAGAACAGAAACCTGGCCTCCGTCATGTGGCGGCTATGTCTCCCTGGGCAAGTGGCTTATGCTCACCGTGCCTCAGTTTCTCCCTTGTAAACTGGGTGCGGCTTCCTGAGCCTGCTGGGGAAAGTGAACAGAGCACGTGGCCTGGCTCAAAGCAGTATTGATCGCAACACCACGAACCGCTCGAGATATCAAGCATTTCCCTCGTGCTGCCGTGTCCTCAGTCACTTCGCCCCCAAGAGCCACCACGAGGTGGCTCCAGATCGTTACTATAGCAACGACAGTGCCTACCTCACAGGGTTGACGTCGGGATAACTGAGTTAGCATGGCGAAAAGGGTGCTGCACACAGCAAGTGCTCAATAAGTGTTAGCTGAACAAGGGCACTGGGTCCCCGTGTGTCAGAGGCAACACCAGGCCTCAGGGTCCCCTTCTGCCAACGAGCACGCGGACGTGTCTGGGTCTGGCCCGCCCCAGGGTGGAGTCAGCTGGGCTCTATGGACTGAGGGGCTGCTGGAGAAGTCACACCCCGGTGACGCCACACTGGGAAGCCCGCACAGCCCCCAACACAAGGCCCCCTGGAATTGCTCTGGGGACCCTCAGGGACCGCAGGCCCCACCCACTGGAGCCCTGGGGTACTCACGGCAGAACCTGAGGAAATCTGACTGCAGCTCGTTCCGTGCGTTCAGGAACATTCTCCCCTTCTCGGTGCCCACCACGAAGGCGCTCTCATCATGGACAGCAACACAGGCCACCTCTGCATTCAGCTTGGAGAGCGCCGAGCACTGCAGGGGGAGCGGGGTATGTGAGCCAGGAGGAGGTCCCCCAGCTCGGGGACACCTCCAGTGACAGCTCTGGGGGTGGGATGAAGTTCCCAGCTGCCTAAGATCCCACCAGCAGCTCCAGGGAGAGGTCACCCCTCCACGGTTCTCAGTTGGAGTCTGCAGGAGGAAGGAGTGAATGACACCCCCCACCCAAAGCTTGGCCAAGGTCAAGGGAGAAGACAGGTCATGGAGCCCCCAGAAGAACAAAGACACAGGGCCCCTGCCCTTCCCTCCTCCCAGGTCCTCCTGGCTCTAGAGGGGTTCCTGCCTGAGGCTTGGCCCCAGCCCTAGAACAATCCTGTCTGGTTTTCTTAAAGTCCTAAATGAGAGGAGGTGAGGCGCGGGGGGGGCCAGGAGAATCAAGGCTTGAGCAGATCCAGGTTTCAATCCCACATCAGCCACTTCCTGCTGTGGGACTGATGCACGTCACTCCCCTCTCTGGGCCTGATCTGCAGAATGGGGACAGGCAGCCCAGCTCCCAGGCTTTCAATGGGCTTGGCTGTAGGGATTCAGCGAGGCCTGGCAGGCAGGAAGGAATCTCTAAACAGGGGTATCTCCTGTGGGTTCACAAACAGAGGTCATTTTGGCAGCCCCAGACTTGAGGGGTTGGCAGGCCCCCTGCACGGGAAGCCCTAACACAGGGGCCCTGCAACCAAGACCACCAGCATCTCAGACCTCCGACCTAGATCAGCAGAAGATCTCTGCCTGCAAAGCTCTCAGCATGCATTTGGCGCCCTGTAAACACTGGTTTTTATGAGAGTTTGGTAGCGCTCTGTTGGGCAGTCAGGGAGTCTGGCTTCTCATCCCAGTTCTGCTGCCGTGTGACCTAGGACAGGTTCCTCAACCTCTCTGGGCCATAATCATGCCTCTCAGCTTCAGCCCAGAGTCACTCTGCTGAGGAAGCCGGGGACATTGTAGAGCCCAAAGGCCTGTCCCCGGAGACATCCTACGGTGAAGGGTGTGTGTTGATTTCCTGCTAAGATTAAAATAAAAACCTGCCGCTCGCTCTCCCTGTGGCAATGCTGCAAAACGTTAACAAGCAAAGGAGACAAATAGAGTCAGTTGTTCCCAACACACGAGTGGCCATCCGAGCTGGAGAGATACTTACTTCTCTGTGTGGTCACTCTCCAGGGAATCGGCTTCCCCAGAGGCACAAAGAACGGGGCTTGGAGGAAAGGCCTGGAAGAGGGTCTGCCCCACAGCCCCTGGAGACCACCCGAGGATCCAGGCCCCAGCCCCGGAGGATGCCAGCATCCAGTCACTGCCGAGCAAGGGTCATCATCACCCTTGGGGTCCGTCAGGAAACCCAGGAAGGGACCTAAGGACAGGGGAGCAGGTCTCGTCCCCGCCACCAGGCGAGCTACGGGGGCCCTGCTCCTCCGAGGAGCCTCTGTAACACCCTCTAGAGCAGTGCTGCCCAACAGAACTTTCTATGAGGATGGAAAAGTTCTGTCGGGGCGCCTGGGTGGCTCAGTCTGCCTTCAGCTCAGATCATGATCTTGGGGTCCTGGGATCGGGCCCCGTGTCGGGCTCCCTGCTCAGCGGGGAGCCTGCTTCTCCCTCTCCTTCTGCCCCTTCCCACCCTGCTTGTGCTCTCTCTCTCTCTCTCTCACTTTCTCTCTCTCAAATAAATGTAATCTTAAAAAACACAAAACACAAAACTGGCCATGCTGTGTGACTCCAGGCAAGGTGCTGCCCTCTCTGAACTTCAATTTCACCATCCTAACATGCAGGGGTGCAGCTAACGGACGCCAGACAGCTTCTAACACCCCCTTACTCTGTCCCAGAACGTCCCCCCCCCAGGAAAATGACATTATAATTTCCTCATTTGGGATAAACCACTGCAGGCTTAGGTACGTAAGCAATCGTGCCAAAGGAGTGATTTACGAGGCGTTTCTCTCTCCTGGGCCCAAGATGCAGTTATAGCTCGTGCTTTAACATCGGGGATTACAGCTTTCTCATGAGTCAGGTCCTTTCCTCGGAGACCTGTGACCTTCCCAGGGATGGGACCTGAATGGCAAAAGGTGATGAAATGAGGATGAGGGGTGAGGGGACCAGGGGCCCAGGGCCAGTGCTGAATTCCAGGGCTGGATTTTCACATCCTTGGCCTCACTCAAGCCTCCCCCTGCCCCCCTCCCCCATGTAGGCAGATGGGGACAGTGAGTCCCAGGGGGTCGAAGACCCCTCCCTCCCTCCCTCCGCCCGAGGTGGCAGAGGTGGGACTCGAGCTCGAAGTCTGCTGACAAAGGCCGGGACTTCGGCCCCTCCGGGGCAGACCGGGGCACTCACCATGGAATCTAACGCAGACACGAGGCTGGTGATGATCTCGTCTTTGCGGGTGAAGGCAGAGCTCCAGCGGTCAGGCCCGCAGCTGTTGGCGGGAATGTCGCAGCGCTTCCCCAACAAGGCCATGGTCACCTGGATGGAGGGAGGCCGCGGAGGTGGGCGTGTGCCCCAGGGCGTGGCCCCCACGCGAATGCCCACCCCAACCCCGCCAGGCCCTCAGAACCCCAGGGCCGCCTCTACTTCCAGGGTGGGACGAACCAAGGGCTGGCCTCCCCTTTCCCCAAGGGGTTAGACGCATGAAAGCATTAGAGCCCCCCCGCAGGGCCTAGTTGGGGAGGAGGCCGCACACAGCTCTGGGCAGGCACGGGCACACGCGGGAGGGTTAACTGAGGAGTGCGCTCGCTCCATGGCATGTCCCCCAATCTGCAACTCCAGGGCTGAGCCCAGTACCATGACCAGTCCGCCTGGCACCTCAACTGCCAACTTTCCCCTGCACGTAGCTCTGGCCATGGCTCTCCCTTGCTCACACACCCTCCATGGCTCCCTACTGCCCACGTTAGCTCTGCACTCCTGCCCCTCGTCCAACTCCCCCTCCACACCCCACACTCCGGGTGCTCTAAGAATCACCATCCCCCAAACATACCCACGTCCTTCATGGGGCCCCAACTGTCACAGGTTTCCCTCTCCCTGACCCGAGTGGCCTTTTGGTTCCTCTGTCATCTGCCGACAGCCCACTCAGCTTTTAATTGTCACCTCTGCTGAGAGGGTGCCCTCAACGGCCCCACCTCCTGCCCCTTCCCGCCCTGGCTGGGCCAGGTGTCCTGGCTGGCCTCCCACATGTCCCCAGGCTCCTCTGTCACAGCTTTCTACCAAGCTGCAATGGGCAAGGCCACTGTCCCGAGGCCCGCAAGCCCCAGTCTCAGAGGTTCAGAAAGATAGTGGAGGTCACTTCATCTCAGGACAGGGTTCCCCCAAGACAGGACTTTGCCCCATTGTCATGAGGCTCCTGGAGGACAGAGGTGCACCCTCCCCTTGCTGGGGCACCCTCAGACCAGGGCCCAATGCCAGGGCTCCCCGAGGCAGGGGACAGGCCTGCTGCCCTTGCACCACCTGGTCCAGCCTGGGCACCCACTAGACACAAAGGTCAGCCTCCCCTGCATCCGGTTCCATCCTGCCCCTCCCCTACCAGAACCGGAGGAGGCAGGTCCAGGGGGCCACCCACAGGCTGCCCCAGTGCCCTTCCTCGAAGGCAGGGACCCTCGGTTTCCCTCTCTGGGCTCAGCTCCCCTAATGCTCTGTGCACGGGCCCCAGGCCAGGTGCTGACAGCCAGGTCAGGGGTGCGAGCAGGGAGCAGGGCTGCAGGCCTCAGAGTCTATGGATCCTGGCCTCCCTCCTTCCTGCTGATGGGGGGTGGGGGCACCGGGCAGGCTGACAGCTGGGCCCGATGTCTTAAAGGGTGCCAAGCCCAGAGTGTCTTCTGCCACCGCAGCTGCCCCCTGGACCATAAGCTCTGTGAGGGCAGGGACCGGCTTGCCAGTCACTGCTGCACCCCCAGGGCCCAGCTCGGGGCCCGCCGTGCGCAACGGGCCAAGGCGGGGCGCGGTCCACACCACAGACTGGAGGCCTTTCGTGAGTCATGGAACCGGTGATACTGAACGAGTGTCAGAGTGCATCACACATAACAAGGTGCGAAGTGTCCCAACTGCAGTTGTGGAAACATACAAAGGAATTAGGAAAGCACTCAAGCTTGGCTCCTGCCTCAGGTCTGGCCCGAGTCTGCTTTTTGGCTGTGAATAAATATTGATTTTAACAACTGGCCAGTCAGCAGTTGGCCAACATGTGAATTGGGTTCACTTCGAAATGTTTACAAGATGTATTTCTTCAACCAGGTTGCAATTTTATAAATGTTTGAAGTCCACAGCATTAAGGGACATGGAGGGTGTGACAGGCCATGTAGGGGACATCCTCATGGGGGCCACAGGCAGCCGGTGGCCAGAGCCTGGGGCCTTGTGCGGCACAAAGCCCACTGGAGGGTCCACCGTGTGACCAGCTGAGAGGTTTGCCTGCCTGGGGCGCTTGAAGGCTTCTCCCCTCCCTTCGGCCACCCCCTCGAGCCATTCCCAGAAAGACCTCAGCCTGCCAGCCTCCCGGCCCAAATTGAATCAGGGCAAAGCAGGAGGCACCAGACAGCCCTGGCCTCCGGGCCGCCCCAGACAGCTGGTGGCTCCTTCCTGCAAAGTCCTAATCCATTTAGGAAGGAACCAGGGACGCAGGGAGGGAAGGATGGAGGTAGGGAGGGAGGGAGGGAGGGAGGGAGGGAGGAAACGGGGGCTCGGCTTGGGCTAGCCCCCAGCTCCTTGTCCGGGGGAAGGTGGATGCACTTCGGGAGGCGGCAGAAGACCCTCCTGCAAAGGCCCGGGGCCTCTGGGAGGGGGTGGGCTCCATGCGGCTGGAGCAGCTGGGCATGGGCCAGAGGCGCAAGAGCCCTGGGGCCGGGAAGAAAACCACCCCATAAAACCAACAAACTATGCAGAATAGAGAACAGGAAGATGAGAGCAGTAAACCAGGAGGCACTGAGTGGCCAGCATAAACAGGAGAGCGTCCCGGGGGTCAGGGGGTCGGAAGGGCGGTGAGGACAGGAGCCATTGCGGAGCCCTCGCGCACACAGCACAGAGGCTAGGGCTGGGCAAGGCTGGAGGCACCCAAGTGCTGCTCTGGGGCACCCAGGGGAGGACACGAGAAGCGTCACGTCGGGGAACAGGCAGCTGGCTCCTGAAGCAGGGCATAGGTGGGGAGCAACTGTCAGCGACCCTCGGGTTCCTCGGTGGACAAGGCCTGCAAGGGCCAGGAGGCGAGCAGGGATGCTGTGAGCAAGCATCCTCTCTCCCCCGACAGACACTTCTCCCGAGGCTGCCAGGGGGCCACCCACCTGGTTTACCTCCCACCTCCCGGACATTTGCCCTGCTGGCTATGACCAAAACCCAACCGCCGGCACCGACCGCTAACCCGACCTCGGGCACTGACCGCTAACCTGACCTCCGGCACTGACCGCTAACCTAAACGCTGACACTGACCACTGATACTGATCGCTAACCCGATCTCCGGCACCGACCGCTAACCCTGACCTC